CCATTGTCCCCAGTTAAGTGGATTCTTAAATGTCTAGGCAATATGCTTGTCATAGCACTCAGGTAATTCAGAAACTATTGTTTGACATCCCAAATGAACTAGGAAATCATTTGCATCTTGTTTCACTTTTTAGCAAGTTAAACCTGCTCCCCCCCATACCCATTATTTGCGTACAAGTAAGAGAAAATAGAAAGTGTCTTGACATATGGAAATTATGTAACAAAGTAAATAATATTAAGTCCTCATCCTGATCCTCCTAAAGTCTTGCTACTTGTCAGCATTTATATAGATTACTGGCATCAATCTGCTTTGCTCCTCTAATGAATCTAATAAGCTTGAAATATCCATGGATGGGGTATTTTAAACAACTGGCTTGAGAAGAGTCAAACCCATAAAGTTCATCAAATGATCCACTAGATGCAATGCAATAGATGAATTATCTAACTAGTATTCTGGAAGTAAGAAAATATTTTATGAATTAAGGTTGAATTCAGAAATACAGCTGATAAGATAGAGAAATCTAGAATATATGTATCATATAATTCAGTTAGTAGCAGCTTTTTGTCTCACTAAAAATCAGATTTAATGCAGAATATTAAGGTGTCACCTTTAACAGAAATACCGGTTTAGTCCTTTTTGCAGTAGTGCTGCAGATCCTGTTCTGTTTATATACATATATACGTACACATTTTGCTACATGTAAAAAGTTTTCCTGGAGGCTCATGGTTCTTTTTGAAATACAGGTGAACCCTGCCTATGTTTTAAACTAAATGAATTTACATCTATGAATAACATAGTCTATCTAAAAGCAGGGATGCAAGAGCCTAGATGTCCCCTGTATTGACAGGAATGCTTGTTTATATACTAGAAATGTCTTTTTATGAGCTACCGTTGCCTTGGAAACCACTACTAAAAATGAAAATTTTGTCTCCATGGAAAAAACCCATGCTATTCAGTTATCCCAAAATTTACCTTTTCTTTTCCTGATCAATCTGAAACTCAAAGATTGGCAGTCCGATGTTCTCGGCTCTTAATTCCTCCTTCCTATTATAAAATTATATCTTGCTGTAAGTTTTGTGATTCCTGAGAGCAAACAGAGGCCAATCTCTTATTTCCTACCAACCCTCTTATCAAAAATATATTTACATTCTTTGTCTTAATAGGCTGGAGGACAAAAAACCCAAAGCCTTCACAGAAGTGAGAAAGCTGTTTTCTGAAATTTCAATCTTTTCATGTACTGTTTAAAGCATTCAACAGCTCTCCGACCAGTAGCGTCAGTCCAAAATTCTTGGGAAACATAATGGCCTTTAACTGTGTTATTTTGGGGCATTTGTCAGTTTTCCCATCACTACTTAGTTGAATATAGTCTCCTAAGTAGTGTTTCAGTGTGAGCACAGAATGTAGCCATTTTCCAGGTGGTTTCCTTTCCAGATTTTCCCTGTCAGTGTTATTGCTTGTCCTAGTCTTTGATTCCTGATTTTTGCCCTACATGTGGGAGGATGTGCCAATAGAAAGAATATAAGATCTATTCTAAACCAGCAAGTGAAGAGGAAGATACGTATGTTGGATGACAACAGGAAGACAGAGCAAAAGATGCCGATCATCTGACTCAAGGCTGCGCCTGCTCAGACATGGTAAATTCACAAGGTAAGAGGACCTTTCAGCTTATTTTTGTGAGGATGCAACCTGTTTTGCCACAGAGCATGACAGCTTTATAAAATTTGATTTGTCTTTTGCATCAATTTACAATTTTTCTGTCTGGGAATACATGCACACAGTATTAACCACAGGACCACAGATGTGTGGATATAAAATTCTAATTTTTGGCTTCCAATCGGCTTAGGTTGTCTTGTAGCTCTTGTTTCCAAAGAAAACATCCAATTGTACCATTCTATTCCTGACACCAGGACTAAGAAAAAAGGGGAATAAAAAAATATTCAGTTTCCTCTGAGCACTGAAAGACAGTGGTGTACTAGGAGATGTGAGCCTAAAAATAATACTGTTCAACATGCAGACATACTCTATGGATTTCTTGTAGCTACAGGTACTGGGCTGTTATCAAGAAAGATCCCTGTGGAGAGGAAACAGGAATTCTAAAAGCACCAGAACCTTTGTGAAAGCACTGAGGGTTTAACTTTCATACGGCAAAAGCACAGTATAGAACTAAATAGATGCTATAAAACCCTCTAGTAATACACGTGGCCTGCTGTTGGGAAGATGTTCATGATGAGAAGACAGGTCAATGACATAACGATGGTCAGTGAAAGCTGTGAGAAGACATGAGATCCAGTGCGGGGTTCTATTCTTTTCTGTTACCATGAAAGACTGCTTAAAGGGTGAAAGTCTTCACTGAGTCCTCCACAGCCACCGTGACAAAAATTTCTTTCTTTCCCCTCCCTTTTGGCCATAATTGTGCTGTGTTCCTTTAAAAAACTGACAGGACTATTGGACTCCCAACAGGGAACATCTACAGGACCTGCTCAAGGGGAGCAAGATCCGGCAGATGGAGCATATGGCAGGCAAGAGCATCCCACAGAAGACACGGCTATCACCAGATCGTACAGAATGACTGCAACATGGAACAGGGACTGGAGCAGTCAGTCTACCCTCAGGGATGAAGGAAAGACATTTCCCAAGGACCAGAGGTGACAGAAGAGAATTGGGCAGACTCAGCCACAGTGACTGAAAGTCTGGATGTGAAGACCCACTTGCAAGAACAGAGGGGGCTGGGGTTGAAGGAATGACTGATTTCAAATGCTTTTTATTTCTATTATGCCTGACTGATGCTTTGAATTCTTCCTATTTACAAAGTTTCTAGTTCATATTATAATGAAACATAGCATTCTCCCACCTGAGTGTCAAAGCTTTTTGATCTTCTTTGTGGAGTTCATGGTCGAAGCAGATTCACCTTAAACATCTGGCTGACACAGGGTCCTGCCACTGGCTATCAGCCTCTGTAACGTCCCCTCCTTATCTGTGGTATCCTGATGGACGTGCTATAGATACCTGCTTCTGGTACAGCATGTGGTTGCAACCTTGGAGGACTGAAGCTATGGCTCTGAGGCGGTCCACCTACAACAGCTGCCTCACAACCTCTCATGCTAACCAGCTAGGTGAACTGATAGGAAAATAGTAAGCATTTCATCAAAGCCTGTCCTATCTTTCAAGAAAGTCCTTCAACACAGATATATTGCCATGAAATATTCCTTTTTTTAACAACATAGCATTTCCTGATTAAAAGCAGCTCTAGCTATGATGAAAAAGGCAGGCACTAACCATTCTGAAGAACTAATTGTTCAGTATCGGTATCCATTAGAAACTTACAAGATAATTTGAGTCTTTCAGCTATTATTTATCATTTGGTATTTTTTCCTGAACCTAACTGGGAGAGACTGCTTGGCAATTTCCAGTGCCTTCCACCAGCTGAGCCGATTAGCCCGTGATCAGGGCTGAGCAATGTAAGTTAACTTGCCTGTCACTGAGGGCATTTGCTGCCAGCTGAGCACACTCACACGGACAATTAGCAAGGCTCAGCCAACATGTGATAACTTGTTAAGCTGCAGTAATGTTTATTTTTCCTTTCAAGCCTCATACTAAGAAGCAGTGTGAAGCAAAAGAGGTTTTGAGAACTAAATGAGGGAAATCTCCCCTATAAAGGAAAAAACGATATTCCCCCCCCCCCCGCTTGCATATTAATACTGATAGAAAACCTTGCAAAGTGACTTGTTTTGCTCTAGTCAGCTTGCGGTTCTGTGTAGACCTTGTTCTAAGAAGTGGAATTTACAGTGAATTTATCAGAACATCCCTATTTTAGGCCTAAACTAAAATATATAATATACATAAAAGATCTGTAATCCCATTACAATAGCTATATTGAATTCAATAGATACACCAGAGTACTTACTACAATACAGTTAAATTAGACGAGTTCCTTATTTTGGCCATACATCACTTTTTAAAGTGAAATAGAAAAAAAGGTTGAAATAAGTTATTCAATGCTAATTTATTATCTCTATTAGAATTCTGTCACTGTGCCCTATCATGGGAACATACAAATTCTGTGTATTTTGTGAGAGTACTGATGAGAACGCACTCTGCCTCTGCAATAATTTTTGTTTCAGTGATAGATACAAAAGTTACTTGAAATCAGCTTATAATTAGCTATGATTCTTAATATTGTGGTAGTAGTTATAACAGGAATGCAATTGAACATTTTGGTACAGTGAAAAAAATGCCGTATCTGAACTTGTAATTTTATTAGCACCACACTCCTTTCACTACTTTCTTCATACTGCAGGTGCAATTTAATATTTTCTTCTAAGTCAAAGTTGAACAAGCTTCTCTATGTTCAACAATTTTTCACCTCAGTGGAAACCGCCCCTCCAACACCACAAACCAAACCAATCAACCACCCACACCCCATTTTCCACTATAACAATTTACTTGCATCACATAAGGAATTTAAGTATTAATGAAATGAGACTTAAACCTGGAGAGAAAGGTCCTACATATCCTTTTAGAAGGTAAGCTTAAGTAAAATAAAATTAAAATTTGAATTTATGAATGCAAGGCTTGACACTATGCTTCCAACAGTGGAATTGGTGAGATTCTCTCCTCCCCCATCCCTGCCTTTTAAAAACACATCTTTGCAAATGAATACAAGTTAGCAGAAGGGGAGATGATGTGGAAAAAAATCTAAACAAAAAACAAACACAAAACCCAAGCAAGAATGGAAAAGGTCTCCCACTTATACCTGCATGTTTGATTAAAAAAAAAAAAACCCACAACAAAATTTTTGCCAAAGTTTATTATACATCCCTTACACAGCCAAAAATCAAAACAGCTTCCCTTAAACACATTGGCAGTGCTATTAAACCACACAGATGGAGAATGGAACAAAGCCAATTCAAACTACTATTCCTATGGCATAGACAAATCTGAAACTGGAATAAGAGAGGCACGAGGCAATCAACTGTTCAAATTAGATAAGACAAACTTACGCTTGTTGTATAAGCAGCTTCTGGATCGTCCTCTAACACTCGTGACAAACCAAAATCAGAGACTTTACACATGAGGTTACTGTTGACCAAGATATTACGGGCTGCCAGATCGCGGTGTACATAGCCCATGTCTGAGAGGTACTTCATGCCAGATGCAATCCCCCGCAGCATGCCAACCAGCTGGATGACTGTGAAGTGGCCATCATGCTTCTGCAAGTAAAGATGCAAGTTCAAAGAACACAGCTAGTTTTTGTAAATTTCATACTATTGATATTAACTACAGCTCATATTTAAAATACATTTGTAATGCATCCAGCCAACCTGCCCACTGCAAGCTTGTTTTTTCAAGCATTTAACTTGCTGAGCAGTGCAAGCTATCCCACCTCTCATTGTGCATTTATCCCCCCATTTTGTTCCACATTTTCACACTCTCCACAATCTTTCTACTGGCAGCATTTAATGTCTTTTACCCTCAGTTACCAAGAACACTTTCCCCAAACACTATTTTTTAATAGAAGAATGACAACACTGAAAAATCCTCTCTCTCCATCTCTTATTCCATGGTCTCAGGAAACAAAAAGCCCTCTTTTTATTGCCTCAGCCTTGATTGTCTGCACGAAGTACTGCTGTTACCTCACTTTTGGGTTTTTTTGGGGGGTTGGTTTGTTTAAAAAAAAAAAAAAACCACAAACCTGGAAAAAGTTTGGGGCTTTACCTCATGTCTGTTCTGCACCTAACACCATATGATCTCTAAACACTAGATTAAAAAGGAGATTTGGGCTGAAATTCAGGTATCGTGTAGCTTTTCTAAAGTCTTCCCGGCTGACTAAGCCCATTAAGCCCAGACCCATGAATGCAAGCTGCTTAACTCCTGCTGCAACTGCTGAAATCTATTGGAGTTGAACATGTAAATAAGAGTTATGTTGTTAACCACGCTTGTCCATCTGGTCAGTCTTGGTGAGCTTCAGTTTCCCATCCGCAAAGTTAAAGTTAATGCTTCTGCACCTCCTAAATCAGAAGACTCCTGAATTTTGTGGCAGTAGGGACCAAGTGAGTACCTGTACAGAAATCTCATTATAGGCTTTTTGCTTGGTTTAGGTCTGCCCTATCTACCATTTACAGCAGACTGCTTACAGTAGTATTTTTGTGACCTTGGCTGGCAGACATTTAGCTTCTCATGGATTATTCAGCAAGCCAGTCTTTTGTGTTAGCAGGAACAGCCAAACAAAAACAAACAACTCTTCGCTGCAAGCAAGTTAACTTTCCATTTTCTCTTTCAACACCTTCAGCATTGGGTACAGACAAGTAGCAGTGTCCTCCTGATCAGCATTCGGGACATTTCTATTGCTTAGCTCATGCATTTAAGCAAGATGATTTTTGTAGGGGAAAAGTTTACAGTAAGTTCAGTAAATTCATTAGATTCAGCAAAGCAATAGGCTGAACTGTATGGATTTGCTTAACTTTATCCCTGATCAAAGTATTTAAGCATTTCCATCAGGATTCAATGATTTGGGGCCTATATCTAGCTAGTCAGGATATAAACATTTAAAGAAATAAAGAACTAGTACTCAGATGTAATTAAGGCTACCAAAAAACCCACAAACAAGCAAACCACAAAACCCCAGAGAGGGAGAAGTTTGGTGTTACTTGCTTTTCATGTTATTAATCTCTCTTCTGAGATGAAGCAATACTAGATCAAGACCCACCTCACATATATTATACATGTACTTAAATAAAGAAATTATACATTCTTAAATGATAAGTCAATTAGTGTGCATAGCAGGCTGCTAAATTGAAAAAGTTGTTTACCTATAAAGAAGTTGGAGGAACTAGTTCCTAAAGTCACTATTATTCAGTTAAACTCTATTGGGTACAAACACAAAGAAAGACAAACTTAGCAAACAGAAAAGGCAGAGACAATGTGGATTCTGCAATTTGTAGAACTTGCAGAGTGTCTTGAGACTCTCTCAATTCCTTTCATAAAATTGGTTGGAAGAAAAGCCCAAGTGCAGCAGTATATGAAAACCTGCATTACGGGCAACATGCGCCAGTTACTAACTGGTACTACTATGTCAGGTTATAACAAAACAAGACAAAAACCAGAAAGAAAAGGGTAAAAGGAAGATATGCACGGTCACTACTGGTTAGGCTTCCAAGCTGCTATTCTAAGCCAACATATCAGAATGCAAAAATTCAGATACTAACACACCTGGTCATCTGGAACACCTCACAGCCTCATCATACTTATCAGCAACACTAGTATTTAAGGAGCGATGCTTCCATCAGTGGCCAAACACCACAGCCATCACACAGACTTCTCCAAACAAAGCATGTTTAATGACACTCCTTTGAAACCTGCTATCTGTGACTGATTCATAGCAACTTTCCCCTTGAATGCTCTCACTGTTCCTCTTCTGTCAGTGCTCTGGAGCCTTTTTGTCTCTAAATTCCCTATACAAAGGTGGAGGCAGATCTCTCCAAGCAATCATGTCACACCTATAAGCAACCCCCTTTGTTTTCTCCATCAAAGCCACCTGTAAGCGGTTAGTTCTGCAGATGACAGTCAGCTGAGGGTCAAGACACAAGTGTGATAACCAGACATTTTACTAAAGGCCATCCCCTGTGCCTATGACGTTCCCTATCGCGGGCCCCTACCGCAAGAATAAGGGGAACCTCTCAGAGTCCAAAACGTGCCAGTGACAGATATTTTAAATAAAAACTTTCCATCTAGCAATTAAGCAAAGAGAGAAAAAAGAGAATATTATTCAATACTTTAAGCCTCTTCCAATAAAGAAAGGACATGAACCCTATCCAATATTTTATGTAATGATGCCACACAGGATTTGGGGTTTTGCTTTTTATTTAATAATTCTAAATGTTCAGTTGACTCAAAATTTATTAAGCTGGTTGCAAACAGCTAATACTCTTCACACTTACCCTGTATGGATAACTTTTTTTAGCTAACTGTAGAATTAGGATTTGAAACAAAGCACCTATGACTTACTTTTGCAAAACAACCAACCAAGCCCCCCTCGCCCCCACAACAAAGCACCAAACAAAGCCAACCCCCCAAACTTCTAGATTTTACCTCCTCTTTATCATTGTTAACAGCCCAGAGTCATCTGCAACACCTCCCTTAACCTTTTGTCCCCTTGGATCACAAGCATTCCTTCCTTCCTTTTTTTAATTTGTGCTCTTTCAAATCTAGACCATGCTTGACTGATTTTTCATAAAACATAACCTTTTTCTGCTCTTTCCAAATCTCAGTATTTGCCTTACCAGTATAGCAGAAATGCCTGAGTTAAAAACAATCTCATGCTTTTGCCATTCTCTCCCTCCTTCTTTCAAATTTCTTTGGGCTTCTGCCTTGACACAAAAAGTTCAAGCTTCTTATCTCCACCTTTAAAGAAATGACAGACTTGCTAACATACCACTTGCAATTTTATTCTGTCCTCCTTCTCCCTCTGTGTATTTCTCTGAATCCTCTTCTGCATCTGTTCTCCTCTGTCCCTTCTCATGCTTGGTTTTATATTGTTTCATTGCCAGCCTTGCAGCTGGAACTACATTTTTCCTGTCAGCAAAACAGTCTTCTCTTTCTCAAGTCTCTCTGTAATCACTTCTGCATCAGTTTCCATGCCAGTTGTAGTCCCTTACAATCTATAAACTGTTATCTTCCAATATATCAAAATATTTGTCTGATTTAAGCTGATAAGGACAGAGACTATGGGCCATACTTAACCCTTGGAAAATTCAACTAAGTTGGTGAAATTATACCAGGTATGAATCTGGCCTCATATTTTCAACATTTGCAAATCCCCACGTACATCTGTGGGTCAAACCAATCCTTTGGCAACTTTCCATTATCTCATTTCATTTGCTTGCCATATAGGGACATAAAACACTCATCTGAATGATATGGTGGTTGTTATCCAGGGTTTTATTCTGATTCCCATGGCTTAGATTTGAAGTATGCTTTGACAGGATTCCCACTGGGGTGTTAATCAATACTGGCAGCAATTCAGACCCAGTGGACTTAAAACATTTATCCTATTATCCCATCAAATTTTAATCAGGCTTTAATGGCTTTGCTAAATAAACTTTCCTCATCAGCTGAGTATAGATGCAATATCTGAGTAGTTGCCATTGCATTTATGCAGCCCTGCAAATGCTACACCTTGCCTTTGAAAACCTTATGTACATGAAACATTCTCCTCCTGCTACAGACCTTTCAATAGCACTGAAGTATAATGGGCCAGTGAAGAGGGTCAGTTACTTTAGGGGAGGAAGGATGATATCCTAATTTTCTCTCGTTGCTTTTCACCCTCTAGTTTCCAGCTCCAGCATGCACCAGTTCAGTGCTTTTCTACAAGCCCATGGAATTTTTCTTCTTCAGAAGATTTTTTCAATTTTACTGTTTTGTTTCTGGACTTTTGTCTATTCTAAAATCCACTTCTTTATTTGCCCTATAGGTCGGAGCACTTTTATGCCTTTATATTCTGAGAAGCGTACAGGAATTGCTACAGGTCTAAATATTTTACTGCAGACTAGATCTTATTTTAGATGGAGAATAGCATTGAAAATGGTGTGTTTATTTAGACTTAGATCATATTCACCAGTGACAGTTCCTACTGGTCACTATAGGAGAGACGAAGCTTTTGCTATGCATTTGTTGTTACTATTCTACCATCCAAAGTAAATGGTAGAACTTTATCAGGATAAATCTTCCAAAATTCAAGTTGCAGCTTGGTATTTCCTGGAAGTATAACTCATGCTTCGTACTATCATGTGGATTGCACTCAAGTTTATATTACTGGTACTGAATAAGGTCAGCTGTCAATTTCTTCTTTAATCAACTGTTAACAGGGTTCCATACAATTAATAATACCTAATTTTATTATAGAATCATAGAATCATAGAATCATAGAATCATTAAGGTTGGAAGAGACCTCCAAGATCATCGAGTCCAACCGTCAACCCAACACCACCATGCCTACTAAACCATGTCCCTAAGCGCCTCATCTACCCGTCTTTTAAATACCTCCAGGGATGGGGACTCAACCACTTCCCTGGGCAGCCTGTTCCAATGTTTAACTACTCTTTCAGTAAAGAAATTTTTCCTCACATCCAATCTAAACCTGCCCTGGCGCAACGTGAGGCCATTAAATGTAATACATAAAAACCTGAAATTACTTTAGTTCATTTTAAATGCT